ACGCCTTTTCTTTTTGTTGGGGGCTTGACATTCATTCTGTCGGACTGCACAAGAGTTATCTGTGGGAGTTATCTACGGTCGTTCAGGTTTACCTGGAGGGCGAGTTGGAGCACCTCAATGCGGGCTTGTTCGTCCCCATCCTTCCTCGTGATGTCGGCCAGGTACGGCTTCACTTGCAGGTTCTTTCGGCATCCATGGTGGCCGAGGATTTGTGGGCCCGTAGGCACTTGGCTTCGGTCTTACGCTTCTTTTCCGTGCTGGAGCTGTCTTCGGACTGGCTTGGGGTAGGTGTGGAGGAACTGGGTTCCGGGCCAATGTCCTGTGCGCTTGCTTTGGTAGCTCGGGTGTCGGCTGCTTTATTGAAGTTGTATGCAACGTTTCTGAGGGAGGCGGTGTCTCTATTCGCTTCTTGCCTCGCGTGCTGACAGGTGGTGCTTGTCCATTCTTTGGAATCGTCTTGGGCCCTGGCTCTTAGATTTTCATCGCCTTTTTGTCCGTTGCTGTTTGCAGAGTCTGCAGTGGTGCATTTTCTGCAGGCGGTTTCATCTAGTTGCTGGCCTATGTCGTTCTCGGTGGGGGGGGGGGGTGATCCTGCCCAGAAGAGTTGTGCCAGGTCTCTGTGTTCCTTCGGTTGTCATAAGCCAATAGTGTCAAATTCGGGACTGGCTCTTCCTGTGGAGTTGTCGGAACAGTGATCACTCCGAGCGTTGGTCGGGCTCTCGTAGGGGTTGTCGGCTCTTTCACGGTTTGCGCCATTGACGGGGCAATAGGGGGAGGCTCACGCTGTTTACTTTTGCCTGGTCCCATGATTCGTGGGCATTTTGAATCGTTTCCTCTGGCCTGTGGTGGCGTTGGGTAGTTCCTTCTCCTTCGAGGAGATCGGGGCTGGCAGGGTGGGGCTCTTTCCCTGCGATCTGTCAGGTCATCCTGGAGTAGTTTCCTGCCTGTTTTCAGTTCCGAAACAGGACTGAAAACAGTACTGTTTCGGACTCCCCAATCTAAAATAAGTTAACAAACATGACGTTACCACATGCGCCGAGCATCCATCTGTGCAACCCCCCTCTCCGGGAGTGACGGGAGGGAGTGAAGGATGCCTGGGAGCCTCCGGGTCTCACCCAGAAAATGGAGTTTCATTACATTCAATGCTGGTTTTCTATGGAGAGCCACTTCAGCTCCCCGGAACTACCTAACCAAAGATAAGAAAAGGGACTTACCCGGGAGGCAGACGTCACTCGCTCCTCAACTCGAGACAAGTCGAGACAACTGGCCACAACCACTGGCCACTCTTCCTATATTGAACCCATTTTCTTTTCCTCTCTGGCCCCTCTCACAATTTGTTGAACAAATCCTGTTTTCTGGTTCTGCATCTCTGTTTTGATATGAATGTTTGTGTGCCTTCATCATATATATCACAAAATTTTGCATACATCTCATTTACTGTACTTTCTTGCCTAACAACACATCTGTCCAATTAAATTCATTAAAGAATTTTCCAAGTTCCTCTTGAAATCGAGTTTATCAACTGTTTCAATATCCCAATTCTCTTCTAGATTATATCGCAAAGCATATTTGATTTCCAACAGGACATGATCACTCTTTCCCAAGAGAGGAAGGTACTGGATGTCAAATATCTCTCCTTTCTTTGTGAATATTAAATCCAGTATTGACAGAATATTCCCCTTCCTTTTCTTATGGCCTGCTTGATGTATTCTCCTAGTTGTGATTGTGTGGGTTGAACTCGGGCTCCTTGGTCCCACCTCTCAACTGCCTGTACAGTTGTACAGAACTAGTGTACAGATTCCTGAGCCTACTGGGCTCTATCATATCTACATTTGAAACTGTATGGAGTCTGCTTCCACCACATCACTGCCTAATTCATTCCATCTATTAACTACTCTGAGGATGTATGTTGATACATGAATGTCTCCAGGATAAGGTTTACAAATCTGCCTGTCCAAGAACGTTCCTACATTCTTGCTTTTTAGCCCTCCCAGTCTGTTGTTTTCAATTGAAATCCCCCCGTACCAACAATTGTGATTTATCTATATCTGCATATACTATAATATCTCTCATGACCACTATGAGGCCCTCTTGTTTGTCATCTAATTTCTCCTTTGTCCATGTGTTGCTTGCCGGTGGGCTGTAGGCATTTATGACGATGTGTTTATCATCCCGATTCCAAACCTGCAATCCCATTATGTCTATTTCTCAATGGTTTTCAATTATTAACTCCCTTACTTTCTAGTGTTCTTTCACCAGCACAGCCACTCCTCCTCCCTTCCTAGTTTTCCTGTCATGTCTCTAAACTGAGAAGTTTTTTTGAAATACAACCTGATTTAAAATATTTTCTTCGCACTCCATCAATGTTAGTGCGACAATATCTAGGATCTTAAGCTGAATTATATCTTTTAACTCTAGAATTGTTTATCTTACTCCATCTGTGTTGGTACTCTATATACAATTATCAGGAACATGTTTCCTTTCCCTTTGTCCTTTACTCCCTTTTCCTCTAATGATTTTGTTGCCTTGTTTTTATATACCATTTCACTAGTTTTCCAGTCCCTACCACTTTGTAAAAAAAAGAATTTCGTTCCTCAGTTCTATTCCCATTTAGACATTTCTCTTCATTAAGGTTTAGTTTCGGGTTTTCTTTGTCTTCGTTTGAGAGGTTGAAATTTTTTACATCTTATTAACCCTTAAATGGCACATAGCTATATACCATTTGACACCCACAGGCGCATACCAAAAAAAAAAAAAAAAAAAAAATTATTTTTTCTTCCTAACCAGTTAATTTGTGTTCACTGATCACAGGAAAATAATAAAAAAATCGTAAGTGGCATATATTGCCCACTATAGGGCAGGGAATTCTGGCAAAAATCAGGCGCTGACTGAGCGTGCGTCCCCAGGCGGTCTGTTGATCGCCAGCTGTCAGGCCTGAGTTTCCACAAAGAGATAATTACCTAATTATTTCAATGTCTCTGATTTTTAGTAGTTTTTTTGCTGTAATATTATTCAATAGTGTGTAGTGTGATATATTTATATAATAAAATGAGTGAATCATCGCTGTACTCAAAAATATGGTGTGCATATTGGTGATTCAATTATGTTCATCAAACAGTGAACAAATACTTTGTCGGTTATTACACTATATACACAGGTTATATATAAGTATCTGCATGTTTTGTTCACCATGACGAACCACTAAGTTGGTATGCTGAGTGGCAGTGGCAGTGGCAGGCAGTGACTGGCTGCCACTGGCTGCCACTCCCTCCCTCACCTCACCTCACCTGACTTGCCACAATTCTCCACCCACCATACTGTTTTTGCTTTTATATACATACGTTATATATAAGTATTTACATGTTTTGTTCACCATAACTGTACATCTAAGCTTGTATGGTGAGTAAAGACGTAGCTACTCACAGAGTCAGCTGATGGCTGTCGCCCTCAAGGCCAGACTCACTAATATTTCTCCTCCAACAATACTGTGTGGTGTTATTACGCTATATACACACATTATATATAAATATCTACCTGTTTTATTCACCATACTTGTGCAAGTAAACTGGTATGGTGCCCAAAGACCATCGTGGTCATCAGTAAACATGATAAGTCCTGCAGACGACGCTCCTCCCTCACCAAAATGGCGGCTCCCAACCTCCTACTCTCGCTGTTATCTCACACTATACACACGTTATATATAAGTATCTACATTTGTGTTCACCATAGCGAACCACTAAGCTGGTATGGTGAGTGCAGTCAATAAAAGATGGCCACACACACTCAAAAGACAACGCCACCATCCTCCCTCCCACAGCATTACTCCTCCCTCCATGGCGCACAGCGCCAAATATCACCACAATCCTGCTATTATCAGAACCCTGGTCAGTTTTATCACAGTCAGGGGTCGTCTGTAATAATATCATCGCTACATAATAGCATGAACAAGTATATTATGGCATTTTTAGGCGATGCTGTGGTCACAAGCTGAACAGCAGTGCTGTGAGTTCATGCTGCGTGCGTCAGGCTTGGTAGCTGTCTCAATACTGAGGCCCCTAACACCCGGGAGTTTGGCCCACGATTTTTTTTAAAAATGGCGTCTGTTTACAAGAGCCCTGATGAAGGTGTGGTGAACCCCGTGTATCCGCGGGCCGTTTAAATCTTGCGTAGTACTCCAAAGCATCACATGATGCGATGCACAATTTACTGCAAGTCGGTCAAAGCATCATATGATGCGATGCGCAATTGAAGGGTTAACCAAAGTTTCCCATCCTCATCACTCTGCAATTTACTGGCATTTCTAAGCACTTGCATCATTTTTTTTACTCCATTGAATGTCACCTTTAATGGGCAATTCTTGTCACTCATATTTTCCTATCCTCCTCAAATCTTGACATTTTCCTTTGAATTGAAGCCTTCTCCTAAACCTACTATTTTCTCAGTGATTTTCATCTCTTCTGCTCTGTCCACCCTAGATTATATTTCCATTTCTAAACCCAAAAAATTATTATGGACTTATTTCTATCTGTAATATTTTGTACTAATTTACTGTTGGTTACCAGTTCTCTCCAAATTGCTTGCCCAATTACTGTTTCTTGCAGGTCATTTCTTGTTTTGACGTCCAAATACACTTCGTGGATCATTTCTTTCTCTTTTACAACTTGCACATGTCTCTTTAATTTCTTCTTTAATGTGTGTGTATATGAACACGTTGTACTGAGTGGGGTGTGAATAGCTTCGGATGCCTTATCCCTTTGTGTATTTATGCTTCAATAAACTTATTTGAATTGGGAGACAACCAAGAAATTTAGTAACAAACTGAAATCTGAGACAAACTCAGAAATTTGTATATGGCATTTTTCCTGCATTTGCTGAATGTTAACAAAATCACAAATCAAAAATTTTGTGTTGACTGCAAATTATGATATAAAATTCAATGGGAATTTATTAAGGTTATTTATTCTTACTCTTGGTATTTTTTAATGTGTGTAAATTTTCAGGCAAGGGTGAAGATTATGTAGATGATGAGGATATTCAGGCAATATATGAAGTTAAAATGGTGGAAGATGATGATGATGACGACGATGAAGAGGAGGAAGAGGAACCAGAAGCTCTACGACACACTCATTCTCACCCACAGCCTCCACCACCTCTAATTCCAGAACCGCAGCCCATACCGCAACCACATCCATCTTCAGTAAAACCATCTACATCAATGCCACAGCTCCCACCCTCTTTAACCCAACCCCCTACATCTATGCCACAGCCCCCATCATCTCTTCATCAATCACCATCCTCAGTTCCACAATCAGTTCAGTCAATACCACAGTCACTAAATGTTATACCACAGTTATCCTTGAAACCTGTTCCACTTCCCGAAGTGTTGCCTTCTCAGAAGCCACAAGATATGCATACTCTTGATCAGCAGCCAACATCTCCAGCACAACCAGTGGATATGTAAGTAGTGAGTCTTTGCTGGCACAGTTTTGTGCAGTATGTGCATTTTCTGCTGCATTGCATAAACACCGTAACTTTTTCTGTTATTATTGTTGTGTTAACACTTTCCTATCTCCACCCCGCCCAACCTGCTGGTGGGCGGAGTGGACAGCACACTGGACTTGTGATCCTGTGGTCCCGGGTTCGATCCCGGGCGCTGGCGAGAAACATTGGGCAGAGTTTCTTTCACCCTATGCCCCTGTTACCTAGCAGTAAGATAGGTACCTGGGTGTTAGTCAGCTGTCATGGGTTGCTTCCTGGGGGTGGAGGCCTGGTCGAGGACCGGTCCGCAGGGACACTAAAGCCCCGAAATCATCTCAAGATAACCCTAGACTACCTCAAGGTGTGCCGAGCATTGGCCGTGGGTGGGCAGCCAGACTCAAATATGTATACTCTAAGTTTTTTCACCTCAATTTTCGTCGCACGGCGTTCAATTTTGGTATCTTTTTGTTTGCAATGGAATGCTCTACAAGGATATATACACATAAAGTCCAAAAGCCCACTGTGCCACCCGCACCAAACTCACAAATCGACCAAGAGTTACCCGTGAGCACGCAACACCACCAAAATGTGTCATCTCTTTGTGGGATTCTCACCTGAATTCTTGTCATCCCCCCCCCCCCTTCCCCTTAGCAAAGGTAAAAGTCAGCCAAGCGTTAGCCGTGAGCGAGCACGCATATGCACACATGCTACACCTGCACACAAATAGGTATAATCTTTTTAATTTGATAGCATCAATTTTCTTGTTGCCATTCATTTTGGTATCAATTTGTTCACAGTAGAATGCTCTACAGGAAAAAAAAAAAGGCTGTGCTGTACTGTACTTACCACCCTATGATATTTGTAGACTTTCAGTTGAGCATTAGGCTGAACCACTCTACCTGTTCCAGGAAACTGTTTCCTGAATTTGCTCAACCAATGTTTTATAGGTGGAGTGGATGGTGGGTAACCATTACTGCTTATCCACCCAGTATGTCCTCTTGCGATGGTACAGGCTGGAGCATGGTGCAGCACACAGTACCACATCACACAACTTGCACTTATATTTGATGTCCTTCCTTGTAACATTTCTGAAGCAAATACGATACTTCAGCACTCTCTGGATGCGAAATAGGGAATGGTTCAATTTGCTGATCAGACGTTCTGGTTTATCAGCAATACGAGGGGTTTCTCCTAGCAGTAGCACCAGAAGGAATAATCTGACTCTTGTCTTCCGAGTCAGATGATGAATTGTCATGTCAAGGTGAGGATGAGAATAGTGCCCGCCTCATACCTGATGGCCCGAGTGTAATAAATAACTGTAAAAATTCCAAAGGAGTCATTGATACCGGTACAGTCAAGCCTGATGTTCCAGTAAAAGTGTGTACAAATGGTGGAGTGTTGTCAGTTGACCAGACTTCACCAGAACGTTTGCATTTCATACATGCGGTGCATCAACATGTGCCTGTGGCAGTAGGGGGGTTCAGAATCAGCACTCCCCTCACTTTCAAGTTCTTCCTCACCTGCTGTTTCAGTTTCAACAAACTCGCTATCTTCATCACTGTCACTTTTGTTACTTTATTCTTCAAAATAAGAAAAATTGCCAACAATAGCCTGTACAAGTATTTTTGTTGGGTTTAGTTTCACAGCCCTGTATTTTTGGCGAACCTTGATGCCATATGGCCCCTAACAGAAAATGGAAAGACATTGGCACAAACTTTAAAACACGTCCCAAAATAATATGATAAAAAATGTAATTTTAACAAATATATTAACCCTTAAACTGCGCATGGCGTATATATGCGCCCTGAGTAACATGTCCCATGGTGTGCATGGTGTATATGTACGCCATAGGGTGCCAGACCCGATTCAAATGGCCCGCGGCTACACGGGGTTCACAGTAGCTTCCTCAGGGCTCTTGTAAACAGATGCCATTTTTTTTTTTAAATTGTGGGCAATATTCTCAGGTGTGAGAGGCACAGTACTGTTGAAGTAACCAAGGCTGGCGCACGCAGCATGAGCGAACAGTATTGCTGTTCAGCTTTTGACCACAGCATCACCGAAAAATGTCAAAATAAATACAATTGTTATTATTTAGCGATGATAATATTACAGATGACCCATGACTGTGATATAAATAACCAGGGTTGTGATAATAGCAGGATTGTTGTAATAATTAGCGCTGTGGGAGGAGTGATGTTTAGAGACGGAGGGAGACAGCATCGTTTACTGACTGTGTGGCTACCTGTTATTGTTTGCATTCACCATGCCAGCTCAGTGGTTCTCTATGGTGAACACAAATGTAGATACTTATATATAATGTGTGTATTAGTGTAATAACAGCAAAAGGATTATGCTTGGAGGAGCCATATGGGTGACGGAGGTGACGTCGTCTGCATGATTTGTCTAGCTGTTTAGAGGGTGGCCACTATGCTCTTTGGGCGCACTACAAGCTTAGGTGTACAGTTACGGTGCATACAACATGTAGATACTTATATATAATATGTGTATATAGGGTAATAACACTGCAAACAGTATTGTTGGGGGAGAAAGTTTAGTGCGTGTGACCTTGAATGAGTGAGGGAGCCGCCAGCTGTGTATAGCGACGACTCCTAATGCCTGAACTAACTATATCAGCTTAGCTGTACAGTTGTAGTGAACAAAATATATACATACTTATATATAACGTCTGTATATAGTGTAATAATACCACAAATGGTATTGTTGGGGGAGAAAGTTTAGTGCGAGTGTTGAGGGAGTGGCAATGAGTGGCTGGCTGGTGTGTGGCGGTAACTCCCCGTTGCTTTTTGACTCTCAATACCAACTTAGTGGTTCGTTATGGTGAACAAAACATGCATATACTTATATTTAACCTGTGTATAGAGTGTAATAGCTGCAAAACTATTTGTTTATTGTTTTATGAACATAATAATTGAATCACTAATATGCACACCATACTTTTGAGTATAGCGATTATTCACCACTTTTATTATATAAATATATTACAATACACACTATTGAATAATATTACTGCAAAAAAACTAAGACAAAATCAATCTGAGACATTGAAACAATTAGGTAATAATATCTTTGTGGCAACTCCTACCTGTCAGCGCGGGTGACGCTGACCGGGTCTGATGACCGCTCTGTCAACGTCCACTTTTTGCCAGACTTCCTCGGTCAATTGCGCCCCAAATATGTCACCTACGATTTTTTTTTTATTTTTCCTGTGCTCAGGGGACACAAATTAACATGTTTAGAAGACGAAAAAAAAAATTGAATTTTTTTTTTCTTGCACACGGGTGTAAATGTCCTCAGCACCCCTGAGCAGTGGAAGGGTTAAAATCGGATGTAATAGACATCCCTCCCGAACATCTGCAGAGTTAATTACAGACGTCATATTCATCCCTCCTGAACGAAAGTGTTAATAATGTCAGATTGTGAGAAGACTGTTGTAGGTAGCTTTTTCATCGTGAGAACTTTTTCAGACCTTAGAGCTAAATGTTATTTGCAAAGAAGTCATTACTGATTTGATGCATAATTTCTACCTTGTCATTAATGCCTATTGGAATTTATTCTTAGTCTACCGATTTGTGATAGCTGTATGCTGGACATTCACAACCTACTGGTTTTATATAGTGTTAGTCATTATTGTATAAAACACTAGAAATTTTATATACATTAGATTATCCATAAAAATCTTACCTAAACTAATAAATGTAATTGTCTTTCTAGCTTTGCATCGGTAAAAATGCTACCAGCTCAGTTAACCTGTGCTCAACTTGAAGCTGAAATTAAGGGTGGATCAGTCAGCCCAGATTCCACCGGTTCTGCAAGTTCTTCCACTAATCAAAGGTAACTGCAGTACACGTTCTATCAAGAAATGTATATATATCATTGTTAATATGTATAAAGTCATAGCAGGTTTGCTCAACCTTTGGGCTACAACACCTAAATTTCAGCTTGTCCTCATGGGGTCAGAAGCGTCTAAAAACCAAATTGACATTCCTTTGTTTAATTACATGTCTATTAACCCTTGTGTTGCTCAGGGCTAATTAGCATTTGTCACCCACAGGTGCATACCAAAAAAAATAGTATATATATTTTTTCTTCTAAACCTGTTAATTTGTGATGTCTGATCATGGGAAAAATAATAAAAAAAATCGTAAGTGGCATATATTGCCCGCTATAGGGCGAGGAAGTGTGGCAAAAAACAGGTGCTGACTCAGCGTACGTCCCAGGCGGTCTGTTGCTGCCCAGCTTTCAGGCAGGAGTGGCCACAAAGAGATAATTACCTGATTATTTCAATGTCTTTGATTGATTTTTCGTAGTTTTTTTGCTGTAACATTATTCAATAATGTGTAGTGTGATATATTTATATAATAAAATGTGTGAATCATCACTGTACTCAAAATTATGGTGTGCATATTGTTGATTCAATTATTGTGTTCATCAAACAGTGAACAAATACTTTGTTGGTTATTACACTATATACACAGGTTATATATAAGTATCAGCATGTTTTGTTCACCATAACGAACCACTAAGTTGGTATTATGAGTCAAAAAGCAACGAGGAGTGACTGCCACACACCAGCCAGCCATTCGCTGCCACTCACTCCCTCAACACCTCACTTGCCCCATTCTCCTCCCACTATACTGTTTTTGCTTGTATTCACTATATACAGACGTTATATATAAGTATCTACATTCGTGTTTACCATAACGAACCACTATGTTGGTATGCTGAGTGGCAGTGGCAGTCAGTGGCAACCTGCCACTGGCTGCCACTTCCTCCCTCCCTCCCTCACCTCACCTCACCTCACCTCACCTGACTCGCCACCATTCTGCTCCCACAAAACTGTTTTTGTTTTTATTCACTATATACAGACGTTATATATAAGTATCTGCATGCTTTGTTCACCAAAGCGAACCACTAAGCTGGTATAGTGAGTCCAGACAGTAAAAGGTGGTCACACACAGTCAGCAGACAATGCTAACTCCCTCTCCACCAAGATTACTCCTCCCACTACAGCACTAATTATCACAACAATCCTGCTATTATCAGAATCTTGGTCATTTTTATCGCAGTCAGGGGTTTTCTGTAATATTATCATCGCTAAATAATAGCATGAACATATATATTATGGTATTTTTAGGCGATGCTGTGGTCACAAGCTGAACAGCAGTGCTGTGAGCTCATGCTGCGTGGGTCAGGCTTGGTGGCTCACTCAATACCGAGGCCCTCACACCCTGGGATTTGGACCACAATTTTTTTTTTTTAAATGGCGTCTGTTTACAAGAGCCCTGATGAAGGTGAGGTGAACCCCATGTATCCGCGGGCCGTTTAAATCTTGCGTAGTACTGTAACCCCGCGATTATCCGGGATTCAAACATCCGGAAAACGCCCTTATACGGCCAAAACCGTGTTCGGATAAAGTTATCACAATATCCGGCCAAAATGGCCACAGGAACCGGATAAAAGCTGGTTTGGCTGGATGAAAATACGGCCATACCGTATTAATCCCGTCTGTGGCTCTAGACGCATGGTGGAGGAGGGGGGTGGGGTGGGTGGGTGGTGTTGAGAGGGTGGGAGGGGTGCGTCAGGAGGGACCACCTGGGTACAGGAATTACCAATAATTTTAGAACAATTAATCATAGCCAAAAACAAATGAAATAACTACTAGTAATTATGTAATAACAAATAAATAAGTTTCCTAAAAGCATTGTGCACAGGCTGAAGTTTCCTTCAAAAATATTGTGAATTTTTTTCCTCCTGGTGGCCTACGTAACGCGCTATCCCAAGTGGACCCGTCCAACACTGGTCAACCCATGTGCGTCCGTCCTTCGTGTTATACACAGTGCTGCGCCATTAGTGAAATATTTTTTTAAATAACTTTATTTTCATAGTAACTTTGAACATTTTTGGCCAAGACTATGTCTGGTAGCAGCATCAATCGTTCTGGAGGTGTTAAGAGGAAGAAAGTTGTCCTAACAATAAAAGACAAGTCACAGTTATACACCTCAACCAGTGCGGCCTCACAGTGTTGCGCCATTAGTGAAATATTTTTTTAAATAACTTTCTTAATTTTCATAGTAATTTTGGACATTTTTGGCCAAGAATATGTCTGGTAGCAGCATCAATCGTTCTGGAAGTGTTAAGAGGAAGAAGATTGTCCTAGCAATTAAAGACAAGTTACGTGTTGTTCAACCAGTGAGGCGTCACAGGCAGCCAAGCGCCTTCAACAAGTGAGGCGCCACAGGCAAGCCAAGCTCCTTCAACAAGTGAGGCATTACAGGCAAGCCAAGCGCTTTCAACAAGTGACGCGCCACAGGCAAGCCAAGCGCTTTCAACAAGTGAGGCGCAAGCAAGCGCCTTTAACAAGTGAGGCGTCACAGGCAAGCCAAGCGCCTTCAACAAGTGAGGGCATGCAAGTGCTTCAACAAGTGAGGTGCAAGCAAGCGCCTTCAACAAGTGAGGCCTCACAGGCAACCCAAATGCCCTCAACCAGTGAGGCTTCAGCAGCTGGCAGTCAAAACTAACTTAGCTTAATGAACTGTACAGTAATTTTAAGTGTTAATTTTAGTGTTGTGTTAGTATAGGTTACGTAAATTGTTAAGAATTTTTAACTTCAAGATGTGTGGCATCAATCAAGAAGACGAACACCAACAAGGTAAGTTGAGGTTTCTAGTTGAATATTTAATAATTGTATGTGGCAAGGCAATTCAAATTATGTTGTTTGTAGTATAAAAATAGTTGGAAATGGTCACTTTTGGACTCGTAGGTGAAAAAGTACCATTATCCGAAAAATGTGATAATCCGGCTGGGGGTCCTTCCCATATAGTCCGGATGATCGAGTGGAGACAGTACTCCAATACATCATAGGATGTAATGCGCAATTTATAACAATTTACTCAACACATCATATGATGTGTTGAGTAAACATCAAATGGCGTCTGTTTACAAGAGCCCTGATGAAGGTGAGGTGAACCCCATGTATCAGCGGGCCGTTTAAATCTTGCGTAGTACTCCAATACATCATAGGATGTAATGCACAATTTATAACAATTTACTCAACACATCATAAACACATCATATGATGTGTTTCGCAGTTTAAGGGTTAAAAAATCCAGCTTTGAATATAATGAAACGCCATTTTCTGGGTGAGACCCAAAGGCTCCCCGGAGCTGTCCAGGCTGTTATTTAACTATTAGCTTTCTGGCATCATTCAAAGTGCATGGAGTTCTTGCCTACCGGGGACCACGAGCCCCCTCAAGAGAGGCACGAGGAGCAATGGCCTATAGAAATCTGTGTGGTTGGGAGCATTTTATGTCTGCCATCTACTGGGTCTGGCACCCAGAAAGATAGGTGCCCTAAAACAAATTTTTTTTTTAAATATTGGTACTGAAAGTCGAACGAGTGGACAGAACTCCCCAATGAAAATTAGCAAATGAGCATGACGTCATCACGTTGCCGCACCGCTGTCTGTGCAGTCAACCCCTCCCTTCCCTCCCTGGGAAGGGAGAACCCTATACCCTCATGCCCACGACCCAAGCGGTAGTTCTTAGGCTGGATGTCAAAACACGCGAAAACACCGCCGACCGGAGGGAGGGATTCTGGGGAGCCTCTGGGTCTCACCCAGAAAATGGCATTTCATTACATTCAACGCTGGTTTTCTGGGTGGGGAGCCCCTATGGCTTCCGGAGCTAACTACCCAAAGACAAGGAAAACACAGGGCCCAGGTGGTTGTCAGGTGTCACTCCTCGTTGCAAAGTCAAGCCAATTGGCTGCAACCGGCGAACCAGTGCAACGCAGGCCATACCAGGTCCAGGGACATGGACAAGGTACTGTGGATAACCCTGCTGACGACCTGAAAGACCCGAGCCCGGGAACAGGAAAGGAGGGAAACCGGGTCAACCCAAAGCGCATCCCCAGCCACCGAGGCCATGGCATGCAAATAACTGCGGAGAGCCACAACTGGACACAACACTTGATGCACCCTCGGCCTGACCAACCAAGCATCAACAACCCTAGGGCCCCTCCGGAAAACAGCAGTCTCATTCTTCACCAGAAAAGGAGGAGACGGCTGCAATCGGACAAACCTACCACGAGGACCAAAGGAGCAGAAGCCCCTGTGCCGGAGGAGAGCATGACATGACGCAATAAGAATTCTAGAGAAAGTAGAGCATATAGAGGTGTCTAGAGATGAAGTGGAAAATATGCTAAAGGAGCTAAGTAAGAACAAAGCAGTTGGTCCAGATGGAGTTTCACCATGGGTTCTGAGAGAATGTGCATCTGAACTCAGCATTCCACTTCATCTGATCTTTCAGGCATCCCTGTGTACAGGAATCGTAGAAGACGTGTGGAAAAAGGCTAACATAGTTCCAATTTAACCCTCAAACCGCTAGGGGCCCAAATGGAATTCACACCCACAGGCGCAACAAAAAAAAAAAAAATCAAAAAAATTCTTTCGTCTTGTAGAAGTGTTCATTTTTATTCCCTGATCACGGAAAAAATAACAAAAAAATCGTAGGTAGCATATTTTAGCCGCAATAGGGTAGGGAAGTGTGGCAAAAAAGGGGCGTTGGCAGAGCCTTCGCCAGACGAGGTCTACTCCGCCCGAGCTGTCAGACGGCAGTTGCCACAAATATATTATTACCTAATTATTTCAATGTGTCTGATTGATTTTTTCTTAGTTTTTTTGCAGTAATATTATTCCATACAGTGAATTGTGGTATATTTATATTATAAAATGTGTGAACCATCGCTGTACTCAAAATTATGGTGTGCATATTAGTGATTCAATTATGTTCATAAAACAATAAACAAATAGTTTTGCTGTTGTTACACTATAT